GGCGAGGTACGGTTCGGCATATTAGATAGTACCAGGGTACGTTCCGGTATACCGGACCGTACCCAGGGTACGTTCCGGCAGTACCCCGAGGGACATAGACCCTCTCAGCGTAACCAGCCTTATTGTGGTAAATAAAAATAGTCCGCGTTGTAAATCCGATGTTTTCCTGGTCGACGCTGTCACGGGTTAGCTTACACGCGGTAGTTAACGCGAGTAAACTTATACACACATTTTTTCCACGTGCTAATACGTTTGGCTAAATGACGGTTATTTATGCATCTAACACTGACATCACATTATAAACGCAAACGTTAAACAGTTCGTTTAAATCGCCGACTCTAAATCAACATAAACGTTGCAATATAGTTACCAAGTGAGCCGCATAAAATGTGAAAACACGAAACACGAGAAGTGTTTTTATCTGTGCACACAGCAGAATAGGGATCGTGCATCTGCGCCGCATCCCACCCACGCGTGCTGCCTTAACGAGAGACAGCGTAGGTACTAAAGCTGAAGGGGTCGTTGTCGTATCAGGTACTAGAGATATGTACCCGAGGTACGTATATGTATGTATACACAAGTGTACCAGACCTGTATCTTCTCAGCATATTATGTATGTGTTTACATAAACATACCTGCCCCGCGGGCAGCATATGAAACCACGCGATAAAGTACGAGAATGTCGTAAACCTTCAAAACAAGAGAACAAACGCCATTTGTAAATGTTTGTTTTCGTTTATAACCGTTAGATAAGTAAGTTTTCTGATGTATTTTCCATGAAAAACACACATTTTACTCATTAATATAACATATAATATCACTATAATTGCAATTCTTAGTGCAAATGTGTTATTTTCATCTTAATCTTAACTAGTTATGAGAGGGTCTGGGCTTATAGCTGCCGAGTTTTGTTTAGTTAGGAAATGATAATGATTTGCGTATCCGTATCGTTCCGCGTATACGGCAGTATTAACAGGTATCAGGATATGCAGTGTAGGGGCCTATACGCAATACGTTTTTGTTCTACTTTTTGTTTATGTCTGTTATGATTAGTTTACAGCTGACCTCAGGGTTTTTGGTAGATAATTCGGGATTTTGGCTACAAGTCATGGAGGCTGACATCTTGCCAAATTCCAGCCAATCAGAAGGCGCTAAATTCTTCTTATGTTATACCGTTTTCCGGCTTTTACGACAATACCACGTGACTGAACGAGACTTCCCGCCTGGGTACATTTATGGAGTGCAGCGGTACGGTTTTGTAGAAACAACATTGGTCAGGTACACTTGTGTATACATATATGTACCTCGGGTACATATCTGTAGTACCTGATACGACAACGAACCCATCTGCGTAAGTAAGCGTGTAATGGCGCGGGTGTAATCGTAACGATGTGAGATGATGCATGCCATGGTGGCGGCCGCGGCATGACCTTAGCGTGACCGCATGAGCGAGGTAACGTTGGCAGACGATCGGCCGTTGAGTGCGGGAAAGAGCAGCCACGTAAATGTCAGTCGAGACAGTTTCGTCTCGGCGAGAATTTGATTTTGCGTGTTTTCTCGTAAGACGTAGCATTAGATCACTTGCTCGCGCGGGCCTTGATACGCATATGGCCGTGGAGCTGCTCGTTAGAATTACTGCCTCATTTCTCATCTGATCAGCGAATTGAGCGGAGAGCCGATCACAACATCGACCGCCTCGGCCGTCAAGATAAAAACCGTCGCCGAAACTTGATGCGGGCATCTCGAAAAATTGCTTCGCGTGGCGTATTTCCTCAGCATTTTCCTTCGCGTCAAACGGCTGTTGCGCCTGCCGACGGATTTTGATAAAAAAATGCAGCGGGACGTGCCGTGGGCACGAGCAACATTGCGCGGCATCCAGCGTGAGCTCACAATGCGCGCGTGTAGCAGTGCATGAATTCTGTGCTCTGCGGGCTTGATTTACGTCTTGTCGCTAACAACTCGATGATGGGTGCAGCTGGTCCCGGCTTGAAATACGTTATTGTAACAAGTTGAGGAAGTGCTAGCGCAACCTTGTGATCAGTCCGATTTTCTTTTTAACTGTTTCTCATACTCTCATCATATTATCTATTTATATGTCGGAAAAAAAGTGCACGTGCATGCATGTGTCTTCATGGTAGCACCTATTTGCTAATTATTTGCTAATTTCCAAAATATATTTCACATCTATTTTTGCTGGCGCCGTAAGAAAACGGTATGCCTCACCTTTTTCCACAGCCTTCCAAACATTATACCTTCTCCCACAGTTTATTATGTTATGTATTATGTTATTAGTTTATTATACCTTCTCCCATAATTCCAGACACAAAATACTTTCTCCTATTTTTCGTGACACAATATGTATACGCTCTCCCGTAGTTCCTGACACAATATACCTTCTCGCGTAGTTCCTGACACAATATACTTTCTGCTATTGTTCGTGACAGAATGTACCCTCTCCCGTAGTTCCTGACACAATGTTCCTTCTCACGTAGTTCCTGACACAATATACTTTCTCCCGTAGTTCTTTACACAATATACCCTCTCTCGTAGTTCCTGACACAATATTATATACCTTCTCACGTAGTTCCTGACACAATATACACTCTCTCGTAGTTCCTTACACAATATACCCTCTCTCGTAGTTCCTGACACAATGTACCCTCTCTCGTAGTTCCTTACACAATATACCCTCTCCCGTAGTTCCTGACACAATATACCCTCTCATGTAGTTCCTGACACAATACACCCTTTCGCGTAGTTCCTGACACAATATACCCTTTCCTGTACATCGTTAGTACACATGTCTAGCCACTCGCAGCACACACGTGCATTTACGCGGGGACAATCATTCTAGAGGCTATCTTTTGAGTAGTAGAACGGAATTGCACTGTTAGGCATCCACTTAAAGTTTCACGATGTCATTTCGAGACATTGATCCCTCTCACAAATCCGGCCACAGCATGCTGCTGAGTGAGCGGGCAGACGGCTGGGTGGATTTGCGGGTAAATGGATGGGTGGGTTGCCAGCTGGCTGGAGGGGAGGGTAGGTGGAGGAGCAGGCAGGCAGCTGGGTGGAGGGGTGGGTTGGCAGCTGGGTGGAGGGGTGGGTTGGCAGCTGGGTGGA